GGGGGAAGTCACCCCCTGTGCTATACAGAAAGTCAAAGGGTTCGTTCCCCGCATCACTTAGCAGTGTGATCAAGGGGCACAACACGACAGCTACTTCTTCCTCTTGCAATACCGGTGGCACTGAGTAGCTGCCTGAATACTCTGACAAGCCAACCAGGCTTGGACGCTTTCTGCAGCAGAGCGTGTCCTTCTGTAGCCTCCAAAAGACAGGGGAGCCACACGGGGAGCCTTCCTCCCTCGGCCCATGCCCAGGGCTATCCCAGTGCGTGGAACGGGCCCATACTGGAACCTGTAAAGACAGGTGGCTTTCATAGTGGTAGGAGCAGGGGGAGATGGGTGCTTCCCTCCCCTTCCTTCAGAGTGAAGGGAAGATTGCAACTGCATGGTTTCTATGGAAGCTTGTACAGTCAGGTAATCCTGTTTCTATTTATTCCCTTCACCTCCACACCCTCCTCAGGGGAGCAGTCTCCCCAGCCAACCCCAGCATCCTTTGAGCTCTCCTACTGAAAACGTGTGGACAAACAGATTAGTCAGAGATTTTATGTCCAATACATGAGATGCTAACAAGGAACAGCCGAGAAGGAGCACCAGGAAACTCAAACCTGCTTCCCCTCCAATCTGCAGGATGAGCACAACATACTTTTAACATGGTCTGAGTGGCTGCTTGCCACGATCTGTAGGCACTAAAGGGCTGGTGTGCTGCAACCCCCTTTGCTGGAGCTCCTTAGGATGGCCCAGGGGGCCAGGGAGGACCAGTGCAGGCTGTAGCCTAGCAAAGCTGTTTCTATGCCAACTGGATGCTGCTGGCTCACAGGGGATGTCTCTAATTAAGGAGAGAGGGCAGCATCCTTCTGCCTCTAAGACTAATACCAACAGTCAAGAGACCAGGAAACAAGCCTTACACCTTGTTTTAAACTCTTTGGAAGGCGAGAGCAAAGTTGCCACAATAGGATTTTCACACATGCACACTCTTACCTTAACTCTGCGCTTCGTGATGTCAAGAGAGTGAAGTTAGGCTGGTGTGAAGGACATGTAGAAATCTCAGCAGGCAAGCCTTAAAACTATTTATAAGCAAGTCTCTGCCTCTGTAAGGAGGGTCGGCACATTTCCAGCCTCAGCTCTGCACCGTGCAGTGGTCACCAACTGACAGCATTTCCCAGCTATACATAGTAACCAGACATTGATAAATAGCAATTTACTACAATTGCCCCCCATATGCCAACACTGCAGCATCCAGTCTACTATGCTATTGTTGCTGCTTGGCCATTAACTCTAATGGCGCGTCTCTGTGCCTCCCTTTTAACGCACCCGTCAGTAGAAATGCAGCTTCATGGCTGCCACTTGAAAAGCTGTATCGAGACCACAGCACGAGTTTCACAGCAGCAGCAGCTGTTCCCATCTCACACCAATGTCTGCAAAATATTCTCCCTTCTTAAAGTATTTTCTGTACCTCCTTTAAAAAAAAAAAAAAAATCAGAACATTTTCAGATATTCATCCTTATGCTTTTTTCCCTTTTAAAAATTTCTTTTAGATAACAAATGTACAAAAATCAGGGAGACACAGCCATAAGCTGAACTGTATATCAGAATGTAACAGGCTGTATTCAGAGCCCTCTTCACTTAAGCGAGCTGAATAACATTACAGATCAGCACTGCTTCTCTGATGTAAGGCCATGTTTCCTCCTTTAGCCAGATTTCTCCTAATTAATAGTTTCAGAGTGTTTTTCAGGGAGGGTGTGGTAGTCTGGAAGAAACATTTTTTTTTTCTTTTTTTTTTTTTTTCTCCTTTTCACTTATGTTTTGATTTTAAGTGGACAGTCTCCTCACTACCCTGTTTCTCTCACCTAGAGAGTTTTGCCAGGACCCAGTATTACCAACAGGCTTTGGAGAAATTGAACAGCAGTCCCGATGCACTGGAAGCTCTGGGTGCCCCCCCTCTTAAGGTTCACAACATCCGACTGACGGACAGGAGTAACCTCGTGGATGCGGAAAGAGCACAGGTAACGCTGGGGACGTGGTGTCACAGGGAGGCTTCCCAAGGCGCAGGGTGACAAGAGATCAGCTAAGGGATTTTCAGCAGGTCACAAGTGACTTGGGGTACTGGAAGGCAGTAGGGTGGGATGCCAGTTGATTTGGAAGAGGAATGGATTTCTAGAGCATAAATCTATGCTCTAACGCAAGAGACTAGAAACAGCAAGAGCAGCATCTTCACGTTGTGCTATACAGGCACATCACAGAATGCCAAGGAACCTCCCAAGTCAGTCAATCCTCTCCTACTACTGTAAGCCACAAAATCACATTCAGAAACTAATCAAGACCCATCTTTAAAATAGCAGCTGCTTCCCTCTTCTCCCCATATACATCCCATGCTGGTTTTTAAAGCTTTATTCAGAACAGATTTATAGCTGCTCACCAGCTACGCTGTGGTACAGCACAAATGGCGTGGGTTTTAAAAGCACCTGTAAGTCTGTACCACAGAGGACAGCCGTCCGGTGCAGGGCTGAGCACTGGGGTTACGTAGTGACTGGAGAATGCTGCACTGGGTGCTGAAGTGTTGCACAAGGCTGCCTTGCATCAGCCCAGCGTTGGGGCGAGGCAAACCTGGCAAACACAAGTCCACTTCCACTCTGGGTTCCTGCCTGAGTAGGACTTTCCATCAGTGTTTTTGCCCCTTAATCCAGGCTGCTTTTCCCTGGTTTTGCTGGTGACGCAAAATGTCCCTGGTGACCTCTCTGGGCAACTCCCTGAGGGCTCTCGTCACATTTGAATAATTTTGTTCCTCCTGGTGACTAGTTTTGAGTCCAGGGGACCAAGCAAGGCCAGTAAGGAATGGGGCAGATGGTGCAGTGAAGGAGGGGGGGCTCTCAGGGCAAGAAAAATCCATCTTTAACCAAGTCCTGTAAAATTCCACTTTCCATCTCACTCCAGCTAAGCTTTACCCATGTGAAAGCCAAAACGTTTCCCCATTTCCTGGGTTTTAGAGTTTCTACAAGGTAACGTATTGAAGGCCAAAAAAAATGTGGGAAAAGCGCACAACCTCTTATGCTGATTGAAAAGAAAAAGAGAACCTGCCCTACTGATGTTTTCCTGCATCATCTTTTAAGAATGCTGATTGCTCGGGTGACTCAGGGTGAAGTCAAACTTCTGCCAACCTCACCCAGGACACAAACCATCAACTTTCTTCTCCACTTTTTCATGCTCATGAGCATTCATGTTCTCATGAAATAAACTAGTTAATCATCATTAATAATTACATCATAGATCAATCTACTGAGTCTATAACATCCCTATAGGCTCCTGCCTGTTGGGCCAGTTGGAGAACCCTTGGCATTTTCCTTTTGTGATTGCAGTACCACCCAATACTACACTTGAAACATTTCTTTTATTCAAACATTAAGCTGAGTGCAATTAGCTGTGGTTGATGCTGCAGTTCCTAGCTTTGTTTGTTAAACAACTGAGTGGTAGAATTGGTGACACTGAGAAAAAAAAATAAATCATTGAACATCTCATTTCCTTGATGCATGTTAATGAACTGATCTGTAGAGGATCTCAACCTACAGGCTTCTTACGGTTATGGGAAGCTCTAGCACAGTGCAGGTCACCTCTAGATCACCATGCATTCTGGTAAGGAAAGGTGTTTGCTCATAAATATTTCAGAGAGTGAGTGGTTTTCCCTAGGGGTTGCAGCTGTAACACAGTAAATTCTTTCAGTAGAGAGAGATTAATGTATGGCAGAACAGGCATACTTGTATAGCCATGCACACGTTAGCCATTTGAAAAGCTTAGTGAAACTCTGAAATACATTAAAAAATAAAATTAGGGTTTAAGTTAAAAGGGAGGTGTTGCCTCTTTGTAGAAGGAGCAAATATTTATTTGAGTAACATGCTTCACTGAATCTTTAACATACTTTTATATCTTTACATACTTTATATCTGCAGATAAAGTTACCAGTATCTGGAACAAAATCAGCGGGGTACCTCTATATTAACTCAGAGATGGACCACTCCCATCAATGGTGCGTACTGGGAGAAACATATAGATGCAGGGAGAGCAGTGGTAGGAGAGTGGTAGGAGAAAAGAGTGGAGCAGAATATTTGCTTTAGTCATCCGTGTTGCTGAGATCATGCACACAAAGGAAGAGGAAATTCATATCTGAAGGTCTTGTGAAAGGTTATTACCGTCATTACAACAAAAATGGAAGTTAGTTGAGAAATACATTGAATTCATCCCTATGAATACAAACAGAACAACATGAGCCATTCATTTGCATGAAATGCGTTCTACAAACTATAGCTCAGTACGCATACAAATACTGTGAGCCAAGGTAATGTCCGCTCCCACCCCTCCTCCCCAGGAGGGTGCAAGGCCGTTGAAGAGCAGTCCTAATGAAGTCTAGTATCATGCATTGCAGCAGAGGAATTATCTTACACATTACATCAGACCCTATCAAGGTGAGCTAAAAATCATGCAGGATGTTTTTCAAGCTGTCCAAGAAACACAGTCTTTATAGTTAAAAAAGTGCTAGAACAGATATATAGTAGCAACTTTACAGTTTTGTAATACTGAAGCCTGAAAGCCTCTCTTGTTCAAGGGTAAACTGATTCCTTGAACTGAGCAACGAATTACTTCATGAATTCAGAGTCCATCTTCCATTGCAAAAGAGGAAATTTCATTAGATACAAACCTCCTCACAAGTACTTGTTCTCAGAGTTTGTTAGGCACGTGTTAGCTCTATTTAGAAACCTATGGTGGCTTGGCTGCCACCAGCCATATGGTAATGTTTTCTTTTCATAATTAGATGAGCACAACTTACTATATTTCTCTTCTGAATCGCTATGGGAAATAAGGTGTAAAGTGATGGGAGGAAGACACTAGGCTGAGACTTGAGAGGCTCAGGGCCAGACCGGGCCTCCTCCCTAGTGAGGGGAGATACTCCCAGAGGTCCTCAGCCACCTTTCTTGCACACCTATGCTTCCCTGGGCACCTGGGCTCCGATCTCCTCACTCCTCCCCATCCTCACCTCACAGATGAGGGGACATAACAGTTCCCTCCTGTTTCACCCAGTTACTATGAGGATAACTGAAGATTGCAAGGTGTTAAACTACAGTAGCAATTGAAGTGCGTACATCTCTGAGTTTTGTTTTCAAATGACCTCTCACACATTTCCATCTGCAAGCTGAAGAGGAAAAAGAGAAAGGAAAAAAAAAAAAAGAAGCATCTTCTGTAAAAGGGTTTGTGGCAGACAGATCTGTCAAACTCAACTCTCTTGGCTTACATGTGAGGTCCTGCGCAGAGCTTTACTTGAAGCTAGGCGGGACTTGGTGTCCTTGCACCCAGCTGAGGAACTAAGAGTTAAATGGCTTGTTCCCAGCTGCTCCACAAAAGAGTGCCTGAAATCCCCAAGATAAATAACAAACGGCACATCCTGGTGTGGCTCTGCAGAGCGTGCGCATGGGTGCTTGCAGTGGAAACGTGGGAGACAACCAGAATGATATAGGCAGAATAAAACTGCCCCAGGAGGTGACCTCTCTCTGCAGAAGTAGCTGAGGCTCCCACCCCACTGAAATGCTTCGGACTGAGTGAGCAGTCTGGCATCAGGGGGGGTTTTTTGTTGTGTTGGTTTTGGGTTGGTTTTTTTTTTTTTTTAAATAACTACATAAATAAAAGCAGGCAACTGAAGAAAAGGGAAACTGGGAGTACACGAGCTGGTTTGAACCTGGGAGGGAGCGTTCGCTCAGTTGCAGGCAGTGCAGGGATGGGAAGGGCACCCGGAGGCGAGGGCAGCCAAGGCACCCGTCCTGCAAAGCGACACTCGCCTGCCCCAAAGTGAGCGGAGGGAAGGGCCGAGACCCCAGGCCATGCTGAGGGGAGCAATCAGTTGCTCCTTCAAGCCCTGTTTTAAATGATGCAGTTGCTTGTCCCAGGTCGGATGGAGGCGGAGGGCTGGTGAGGGAAGAGCCCTGCCACAGAACCATTGCACAGAGGTGCAGCAGCCTAATTACCTAATTGTATGTACTTGGCACTGACTCCAGCAAAAGTAGAGCTGGGCGAGCGCCAGGAGCTTTTGAAAAAAAATCCTATCTTAATACTCCGCAATAATAGTCCTTCCCAGCTGGAAAAGCAGCAGGAGCAGTCTCACAGAAGTGGGTTTAGAGCAGAGCTTAGAGGAAGGAAAAGGCTCCCCCTCAGCCTCCAACAAACGCAGTTTCCCCTCTCCTTTGAGTAACCACGTTCGTACCCCGTCAGGGTTTCAGCAGTCACATTGAGTTACCGCACAGTGTTCAAACTCTTCCAAGCCAGGATAATTCCTTAGCAACACAGTCTGGCTCCAAGGCTGGAGAGGAGCAGAGCAAGGAATGCACCCGCAGGATGGAGAGGAAGAAAGGCACTGGGTCGGGGCGGGGGGAAGAATGTCCTGTCTAAAAATAGCTGGCAGGACTTTATTCGGGTTGCAACAAATAAGAACACACATCCCAGACCTTTAAATCTGGGCTGCACTACGCTATTAAGGAAAAAAGCTTTCAGAAGCTGGCACTCACAAAGCAAGTTTTAAAACACTTAAGAGAATTTTTAAAAGCAATGAATGCGTGGAATGATTTGTTTCCCTGTGCCAGCTGTTTCTACCCCAACTTTACTACTATATTAAAAGTGATTGAAACAAGTTAAAAATCTCTTTTGGTTTGTGTCAGCTGGTGCCTTCAGGATGTCACCTTGAAACTGCGCGATGGTCAGAATATTCCAGTTTACCACTCCCCCGTGGAAAGCATTGGTGTGCAAGAAGGTTAAAAAAAAAAAAAATATCAAAGGCAGCTGCTTCTCCACCTCCCCTTGGGCCGAAGGAGCCATTAATCGATTGCATCCCACTGTGTCTGTGAATGTCACTTGTGACAACTGTGCACAATTTCACTTAAGTGGGTGCTTTCAAGACAATTTTCTCTCTAAGATTGATCTCATTATTGTCATAATTGTAATTTCTTTCTTTTGCTGGTTTATTTATGTCCTCAGCAGAAGCCTAAAATAAATATCTTGCAAAAGACTTGCTGTTCCAGGAGTCATGTGTTATGTTCTCTGTGTGCTAGGATTACGAATTTGAAATAAATAAGTGAACTGCCAAGACATTGAGATTTTCTACAATTGCAGCCCAAAGTCAGGACAGTTGGGCCGCTCCATCATGGTGAGAAGACCAAGTCAGCTCCTCAAAGTGCTTGCCCTCACTGTTTCCATTTTCCCGTTTCTCAATAAGGTGTTACCTAAAGCAGGAGGGACGAAGCAGCGAAGGTGAAGCTCAGCAGCAGCCCCCTCCACTCCTAATGTCACATATCAGATAGATTTGCACCCTCTCAGTCATCATTAAAAAGCTCACGAGATAGCCAAGGCCACTCATCGTAACAGGAATTCCAGGAAGAGGCTCTACTCACGCTGCCCATGCTGTGGGTTACTCAGAAGCCGCTGCTGTTTCACACCAGCTCTGCGCAACACGAGTTCGGGAGGGCACATTCACTCCCCCACTTCTGCTCAGGGAGGAAGACACTCAGGAGGTGTGGAACAGGTAAAAGACTGACACAAGATTTTGATTTTGCCTTGATTCTGTCAAGGCAGCAGCTCAACCAGAGGTAGAGAATTGCCTGTCCCCAGAAGCAAGTTGAGGAATGGGGGAACACACACATACACAGCAAATTTCCCCACACCCCACACCCCCCAACTGCACATTCTAACAAACTGTAAAGCCTAAGGGACAGTCTGAGAAGATGAAGAGACATGTAAGTGGTGTGCCTTCATACCCTGAAGTAACATGTGAGCCACTAAGCACGTCCAGAAGAAAGAGTG